TTAAAGTGATGGCGGAGTCTCCCAAGCGGCGTGTGCAGCACCGAGCCTGGCCAGGCGGGAAAAGGGATGAGGGGGAAAAGTGCCACGGGAAGAGATGGGATTTGGGATACAGGGAACCCCGAGACCGGCGAGAGTAGGTCCAGGGCTGTGCAGCTGGGAAATCTGGACAAGGGAAGGGAGAGCAAACAAATACAAAAAAATATAGATATAAAAACAATTTGTGTTGAGGAGAAGATGAACAGTAAATCAGGGTTACTGTTGTCTTCCCCAAAGTAAGAATAATAATTAAAAAATCCCAGTTGAGGTGACAGTGAAGAGTCTGACAAAATTCCCTTCCCTGGGGAAAAATAAAAATACAAATGAGGTACCTTTTCCACCCCAAAGCCATCACCCCCACAGCCACCCCACCGCTCCAGCCACTGGTTATTGTCTCTCTGAAATAAAATAATCGGGGCCAGGGCAGGCCCGGAGCAGAAGCACCACGCGTGTGGCTGGGCCACAGCGCGCGCTCGGCGCCGGGAACCCTCGTCCAGTTCCTCCCGGTTGGGTTGTTCAGCAGAGATCCAGTCTCTCCTTGACCCTGCAAACAGGCGGTATTGTTCAGTGCTCCACGGAGACGGAGCCTTTTCCAGGTCTCGCGTGTTTCTCCAGCTTTTTTGTTTTAAAAAAAAAAAAAAAAAAAATTATATATATATTATATACAGTACAATGAAAATATCCATGGAAACAAATGGGGTGGCTGGAAAAGATGCTTAACAAAAAAGCCCAAAATAAAACAAATTCCCAACTCTTCCCCAAACTGATGCTTGCCTTCCCCACTAGTCCTCCAAGACCACAATCTCCACGTTATGGACCTGGTGCTGATGGTCCTCCACATCTCCCACCACTTTCTCCTCAGTCCTCAGCTCTGTCTCCAGGATCACAGCTTTGCCTTCCGACTCATCCGTATCCGCTTCGGGATCTGGCGCCGGGTCAATCTCTATGATGGTTTGTCCGTCGTCCGAGGTACCTTCCACGGCTTGGATGGTGGAAGTGAGGCCGGATTCCATGGCCACCAATTCCACGGGATTGACCACAGCTGCCATATTCGCCAGGGCACCGCTGTCCTGCACGGCCGCCGAGCTCAGCAGCGCCAGGCTGGAGGATGGGTGGAGGGTGACCGTGTCAGAGGAGCTGGTTTTGGAGGAGGACACCACGGTGGCGTATCGGAGAACCAGACGGCAAGGTATGAACAGTCACCGGGCTGGAGCCTTGGCTAATAGTCGCCACTGGGATGTTGCCCACGGAGAACTGTTGTCCGACGGGTGCGATGGCGATGGGTGAGATGACCGTGAACTGAGGTTGCTGGATGGGGGTGGAAGGGCTGAGGACGGTCGCGGAGGCTGGGCGCTGCAGGCGGGGTCTCTTGGGGGGTTTGGGAGCGCTGACGGGCATCAGCACCACGTTCTGGATGGTTTGGGACTTCGCCTTCTGGTCTTTGGCGAGTTTCTTCTGCTCTTCCAGCTGCCGCTCCAGGTCTGCAAAGAGAACGGCTAAGCAGCGTGTCGGGCCGGGGTCAGCACACTGGAGGGGGGGGTCCCGGGGACTCGCGGGCTCCGCAAACAACCATTATGCCCCACGTTTGCAACAGGAGGTCTCCTAACCACCCCGTCGAGCACGACCTTCGCGTTTCACTCAAGATCAAACTGCACTGAAGGAAAAGACTAGATTCTCCTGGCACCCACATGGACCTGGTCAACGTTCTGCTCCCGCTCAGCCTGCTTTTGGCGGCTGGATAAGGAACAGGCAATGCTCTGTACCAATTCGCTATTTCTATTATCTTCCCACGGAGGAGGAGATGGGCATTTCTGCTCCCCAAGCCAGACCCACCTAGAAGGGAGAGTGGACAAGCCCCTGCAGACAGCAGGAACTGCTCCCAGGGAGCAGAACTGCCTGGGTCAATGAAACATCTCCCTCAACCCTTGTCTCGGTGAACACTGGAAATCAGAAGTAGCACAGTAATCTCATTTATCCAGGGCAGTAGGGGAGTAGGACATCCCAGACAAGAACAGGTCCTATGGGAGACGGTGAGGAGGGAGACGCATCCAGCAAGTGGCTCTGGGGAATCCAGGTTGGGGTACTGGATTCAGCTCAGGGGAAGCCGCGTAAGACACCTGACAGCTCCACACCAAGACAAGCAAACAACTCAGCGCCCTGTACGCGGAGAAGCTTGTTAGCTCGGGCACAGCACGGCACTGCCCCGCAGCTCGGATGACAGCCGCACAGCACCTATTTCCTAATGCCAATGGAAATGGACTCGCACCCCCAGCAACTGTGGCTGCCCCGAGCAACTGCTCACTGCGAGGCAAGGGAGAGGGGAAATGCCACGCAAACCCTGGGACGGAAAGGGATTGGGATGCATTTGTTTCGGGGCAGCTCGTATTGAATGATAACCCAAATATTCAGGGGTTATGTCAAAGGCAAGTCGGCCGCCAGGAGCAGCAGCAGGATGAGAAGCCTTACTAGGCACTGACTGTACCTGCCAGCGTGTAAAGAAACTGTTCCTCTCCCTGCTCTGTCTGGTTTTTCCTGTTGTCCAGAACCTTCTTGACTGTGTCCATTAGGCCAAACGTGTGGGCAACGTTGTTCAAGACTGCAGCATCTGCAAAGGAAGAGCACAGGGCTGAGTGCGTAGTCCCACAGGCAGGACTCCGGCAGGCACTCAGAAGATGCTCGTATCACACCAAAAATTCTCTGCTGCTTTTTGTAGAACTGTCTCTGTTCTTTCACAAGGGCTGGCTGACAGGGGCAGACCCAGCTCCTGCATCCTTCTGACATCCAAGGACTAAAGAATCCCATTCACACGATAAAGAAAATGAAACAGAGATGTGTCACCCAAGCAACTCAAAATTGCTGCAAATGAAAGCATAATTTGCAATCAGAGAGATACAAACGAGCTCTCCACCTACAAATCATCACCCCATGCTGCTGACAGTGTCATTAACATGCCAGCTTCGCTGAAAGCTGTGCAAAATTTCTATTATAATCCACTGACTTCAATCACTCACAGCTTCCAAAAGCTGCCACCAACCAGACACGAAGATCTACCAGCCCAAAGCTAAATTAGAAAATAATAAAAAAAATTAAATCTCCTGAGTAGAAGGAAGTTTGTGGCTACATGGATGTTCTCTCAGCAAGAACGTCAACGAGAGGTGCTCTCAAACCCTGTGCTCACAGGGGCATGGGCTGAACTGGATTAGGGAACTGATCCGAGATAAAAATAACCCTCAAGAGGGGAGGGGAGTTATTTTTAACCCAGATAAGTTCCCTCATCTGGTTCAGCCCCAAAAACAGGTTTTCTGGCACAACTGAAGACAGAACGAGAAGTGAGAGGGCAGGACCTGTTTGAGCCCACGTTGTCACAGAGAAAAATGAGTAACTCCGGTCTGAGAAGTGAATCTGGGTGGGTTTTCATGAGGGCCGGGACCTGAGGACAGCTGCCCGACGGTCTCAGCAAGGTGCCAGGGTGATTTTGCTCAGGGAACACGGTGGCACATTGTGTCCTTGTGCCCCGCAGCGGTGTACGTGAATGACCTTCACAGCCGGGCAGGCTGAGACCACCCTCAGACTTGGCTTCCACAGCTCAGCTAACGAGCAGTAACCAGCTCCCCACCCTGACTCAACAGCTGTAAGTGGCAGCGATGGATCCTCATCACTTTTTTTTTTGCCTGCAGCCACCCCTTTGAGTATCCTTCCCCACCGCAGAGCCAGAGGCTCACAACCTACCTGTCATCTGGAAGGGAGACTGACCCAATCTCTGCTGGACTCCTCTTAGGACTTCTTCTATCTCCTTCTGGATGTTGCATACGACCTCTTCCATCAGCCCCACATCAGCTATTCCCTTCCAGAACATCAGCGTGTCCTCTGGAGACAGAGAGAGGGAAAAAGAAGTCAATATGTACAAGCATTTGGCATTTTCCCACAAGGCTACCTTAAACCTTTCAGGCAAGAGTTAACTTTGCAAGACAACTTCTCATTTGGCCATTGGGTTGGATATGACGTGCAAAAAAAAAAACAAACCACCACCCCAAAAACACTCAAAAGAAGCAAAACAGACCCAGGCAGCAAATCAGTAACATGTTTTCAAGCAGCACCACGACTTCAAGGCAACATTTCACTGCCTGCGTTCATCTCCGCAAGATGCAGAGCTTGAAATGTTTGAGGAAATTCTGCCTAAACTTCCATACTGATCCCAAGAGGAAGGCAAGGCACTGCAGCCAGAGAGACCCAGCCAAGAGAGCCGACAGGGTACTAAAAAGACCCTGCTCACTGATGGTTTCAGTCCAGCTCCAGGCTGGCAGACATTTACATCCTTAAAATGAACAAAAAAAAAAAAAAAAAAAAAAAAGGAAAAGCCCCTCACTAGTAGCAACTCTCTGGGGGATGATCCATCAGGCACAAGGCCTCTGCCTGCAGCGGCGAGGAGCTCTGTTGGGCAGGGACCCTGCGCGCCCGGGAAACACCGACATAGCCACAGGGCTGGGGGACAGCTCTGTCGCTGCCTAAACTCTCCTTATTTTTCAGGATTTCAGTCTCCAGAATTTAAAAGGCGAGGAGGGGAAAAAAAACCCCACCCAACAAGGTGCCCGAGCTTACCCGAGATCTCATCCGTGTCCTTTTTCATGCCTTCCTCAGTGGCCATGGTGACGGCAGCCGTCAGAGCCGAGTTCCACTCGATCCCCTCCTCCATGCTCTCCTCCGACAGCGCGATCTGGGTGATGCTCCCTGCCAGAGAGGCAACGTCAGCTCTCTCTGCGGCACCCAGAGCGCCAGCCCTGAATCCCTGCTTTGCTTTCCACCCCTCCTTCACCCCTCCCAGGCTCTTTTTCACTCTCGTGGTCAGGTTGTTTGTGCCTGGCTTCTTTCAACCAAATTAGTTAAAAGCAAATATTGCTCTTTCTCATTGGAACTGTGATTGTGAAAGGCTCTGGGGCTTCTAGAGGGAAAACCACCTGCCCTCCAGAAAGCAAACTGGAGTCCTGGCATCAAACGAGCACACAGGGATCACAATAAAGAAGGGAACAGATAAGCCTCAGCCCAGCGACCCTTCTTACATCATCAACAGGGAGCTCTGCACCCCAGAGATGCCCTAATCTCTCAGGAAATGACAGGGTCAGGGTCCAAGCTGGTTTATAGAAGGGAAACGGATCTGATTCAATCCTAAATGTCTGGATCAAATTTGGGACTAAGCCAATCTGCAGCCACTGTAAGGTTTTACCACGTGCTTTCCAGGAGATTCTCCTTAGCCGACGGACAACTCTGCCATCTCACCCATGCAGGGCCTCAGAGAAAGGTAACCTGCCCAGCTGAACGATGCTGTACGGTTGGGAGTGGTCTTCTCCCCTAACCGCAGCAAAGAGATCGCTTTCTGCTCTGAAGCACACGATTCACTGAGAATTTGCAATTGTAATGACAATCAAATCGTGTCCAGCCATCATACCCCGTTCATGGATGTCCCGGTGACGTGGAGCAGGCTGCTCCGGAGGAGGTGAGCATGCCTAGATTCATTCCTGAGTACGAGCCCGTCTCATGCCTTTGTAATAGATCCTCAAATGGGAAAGACATCAGGAAACGCTGTACGAGCTCTCTCAGGTGTTTGCTCGCACGGTGACCCCAGAACAGGGATCCCTTCAGGGTGAACCTCCCCTGGCTCCCAACTTCTAGCCACTGCTTCACACCGGCTGCTTTCCAGCCCTCGCAGAGCGACCTGACAGCTGCTGCCGAGACCTCTCTGAGCAAATACAAGAAGCATTTTCCTTCCCAGAAACCAGAGCAGTCTCCCGAACGGTGGGACCGCCCTTGCTACGCCTGGGTAGAAGGTGTAAAGTGTGTGGGGGGGTAAATCTGATTTGATTAGCCCAGGGAGGGAGAGGAGTGTCAGAGGGAAACTCTCGTGGCATTGCTAACCGGTTTCCTACCGTCAGCTGATGTAGGAGTCTGCACCACGCTCTGCTGCCCCGGCACCGGTGCTCTGGCGCTGCTGATCAGGAGATCAAACTTGGTGCTTCGACAGGTGTTGGTACAAACTTTGTCGTGCTGGTAGAAGTCGATTTGCCCCGAGTCCATCATCTTCCTGTGCAGGGAGTGGGGAGAGAACCAGGCTCAGCTCAAATCTCAGCCTGGAGATAAAAGGGAGTGTTCCACGTAGGAATGCTACGGCCACGGGAAGGATGGAGAAAGGGAGGCTCAGCGCCACTCGGCATACAAAATATCTCCTGCAGGGATTTCAAACGGCAAATACAAGCCATCCCCCAGCTTCACACACAGGGCTCTGGTCCTGTTCCACCCCCAGCAGGTCCCAGGTCCCCCAGGCAAGGCCATTTCTGTACAGGATGAGGAATCCTGTACCCCTCGGAGCACGGGGCCAGGATCTCTGCAGGCTGCTGGCCAGGTAATCTGAGCCTCCAGGAGGTCTCCCGAGGACTGCAAAGCAGACAAAACACCCGCTCGGGATCCTGTGGCTGCAGCGATGAAGCCCTGAAGCTGGAAACAGTGGTAAGCAAGTCAAAATACCTCAGCATGATTCCTCCAAGGCGAATGGCTCTCTTCCAGTCCTTTAGGGTAGACTTCCCAGCCAGGTGAACAAAATGCTTCGGGCTGATCAGTTGGTCATTGAACTGACGAGGAGATAAACAAATCTCAGCAAACAGGGTAACATCGCTTGGGAAGACTGTATTGGGACATCCAACACAGCCAGTCCACAGCTCATCCAAGCCCCCACTTCTACCCAGAAAGAGGAGATGCTTCTCAAATCCCTACCAGCTTCGATCCCCTCGGCACAGCAACGCTTCTAACTCCGGAATGGGGATGTGTGCAGGGATGACCCACCAGCCATCGGCATCCGAACCACACAGCTCTAGCCAAGAACAGCCCTTAGGGCTTTTGTACCAAGCATGAACCAAATTAGCTCCTTCCATGAACACGTACAGTCACCTTGGAGATCGTTCCTGTTACATCAACTAGCCGAGCAACATCTAGGTGACACGGGTATTCGCTCGGGCATCTGTTCTGTCCTGCTCCAGTGACTAAGATAGCTCCTGTGCAGCAGCGGAGGGGACTCGGCCTCAGCTGTTACATTCGCACACTCTCAAGGGGAAAAAGGCAACAGTGAGATTTCTCTTCTCGATGCAACCTGCTCACCGAGGAAGTGACAGGAGCGGAGGATCAGGACACCAAGGGAAAGAGACAAGGAAGAAAAGCTCTGGCAGATCTCAGTACGCATCGCCTGCCTGCCTTTGGCTCCCAGGCCCTCGTCAAGTGCCAAATATGACTCTGCTTTAAACAGTGATCAAGGGCAGCACTGAAATATGAGGTGGGTGATTGACCTTCACTTCTTAACCCACTCTTCCCCTACTTCTCCTCACGCTAAAAACAACTTTAGCGCTAACAGTCCATCATGCTGCAAAGGCAACGTCACTCGGCTCCAGGACAAGGCTTGGATGAAACGCGAAAAGTAAGAAAGTCAAGCGCCAAGACCTCGAGAGCAGAGAAGGAACCCACTGCGAAAACTCCCTTACCTTTACACACTTGACATTAATTCCTGGACAGACAAACTTCTTCCAGAGCAGGATGGCTTTGCTCTCCCCACAGGTGATGGGATAGGCAATCTCGATTTCCTCGTTCGTTTCAATGGTGCTGGGGTCTGAGGGAGAAAGGGGTGAAGATGAAACTTTCCGCCCAAGAAGTTCAAATCCCACAAGGCGGGAGCTGAAAGCTCCCAGGCTGGGAGATCTACACTCAGGAAACCAAAAGAAGGGCCATTCCCGGTTCAGGATCAGTCCTCTCTTAAGTCTTCTCCAATTACTAGCTCTAACAGCAACAGGCATCTGCTTTTTAATACAGCAACACTCAAAATGAAGCTCATCTATCAGGAGAACATGAGATCAGATAACCGACACATCTGCGAGGGGGGTGTCAATGAGAACGATCTTTGTGGAAACAAAATGCTTGAAAATTTGAAGCACAGATCTCTCTCGGATTTCTTGGAGCTCTGGTATCTCTTTAGCAGCGATATCAGATATTTACTGATAAAATATTCTCTTCACATGCAGAGTTTCTGCTAATACTGCCAAAAGACCCACGCCCACACAGGAAGCAGAACATCTAGTGACAGCACCTAATGACAGGAGACTTTTCCCACAGACTCCTCAGGATGGCAGGGAGCCCTCAGAGCCAACCTGCTCCCTTCTTCCGAACAAATCCAACCCAAACCGTCAGGCTGTCTGTTCAGCAAAGAACCAGCAAGCAGAATCCGATGCTTCCACCGGCGCAGACACAACCACCGTCCTCAGAACCATCATTCCTGCCTGCTAGTGTCTGCACACCGAGACTAGGGGGGAAATCTCGGCTCCCCTGGACCCCGTGGGAGCCCTTACCATTCATTGCAGGAGAGCCAGGATCTCAGTTCCAGGACTTTGAGCCCAAGCAGTAACAGCAGACACTTATTCCAGAGTATGCCCAGACCCTGCACCCACATCCATGCCCGGGAATCAGCATCTGCAGGGGCAGAGCCAGAAGGAAGCCCAGCGAACCGGAGACCCCGGCCCTGCAGAGGAGGGGATCCTGCCCACGCCGAGCGGGAACTCACCGATCCCTTCTTCTAGCTTGTGGATGGTGTGGGTTTCGAAAAGGCGCTGGCCTCGGAGCCCTCTTGGTAAATCCTGTTGTGAAAGCGTCCGTTGATAAAGAAACTATATAAATCATGGAAAATTAAGATTTACAGCACAGAGTTAAAAATTCAGTTAATTTTTCTTCCCTGACCTTGAGGGATGTGGATTTTGTTTGATACACTTTCAGTCACAGGCATTTTTTGGCACATACAAAATACAATAATAATCCCAAAGACTGAAACACGCAGAGGCGTTCCCGGTCCTGTCATCGCACCCTCCACACTGCCAGCGCCACTGAAGCAGCTCTGCAGCGCGCTTCCCCGTGCCGCCTTCTCCTCTGGTTCCTGATACAGACGGTTACCCAGGACAACAGGAAGGGGAGCTCAACACCCCAGGATTTCCCTTCCAGCCCCGTGTGACACTGCAGCAGGGGTGATCACGCAGGGAAGAATCACCGTCAGGCCTACAGCCACCCTCCCCTGCGAATATTATCAAACTGGAACCAGTATATTTACGTCCTGATTGATCCAGAGTTCAGTGCCTGGTGGCAGCTGTTCCTCCACAGCAGCTGCCAGGGGTACCACAAAATTCCCTCCGACATCCCAGTTTCATGAATTTTAGAGGAGGATCGTTTTAGGGGAAAACCGGCACAGAGGTATACGCGGAAGTGGGCATCTGGGCGCAGGCCACCACGTACAGCAGCTGCAGCGTGGCAAAATCCCGCCCTGGGGACCATGAAGAAGGAGAGCGGGAGGACGCATGGCTGGGGCAGCACCGTCACCGCCTCACCACCTCCC